CTCGACTCTACTCGCCCTGGTCCTATCCCTCGCCTCGCCTCGCCCTCGCAAAAAACAAAAAAAATGTATTGCATTTTGAAGGGTGAAGGGCATTGCTGAATCTGAACCATCATCCCCATTTCCAATTTCCAGAAATCCTGACCGTGGCTCAGGTGTGATTGCAAGGCCCCCAGGTAGTGGCTTTGAACCAAAGATCTCAGCAGTTTCAATCCATACCTCCTCTATTGACATTTCCTTTGCTGCTGCAACGGATGCTTCCGTGCCTTGGCTTCTCAGGCACTGGAAGACTGGAACTGGCACTGGCACTTGTGTGGATTGAAACGGGGTAGGATAATGGTAGTTTCGTCTTACCCCAAAGCAAAGTGCTTTGAGAAGATCAAATTCAAGAGTTAAGAGTCAGAGTCAGACCGACCGAGACTCCAAAACTCTGATTCCGACTCTCCAACAACGCCGAACAAAAACCTAACAGGAAACAAGGTACCCTGATCAGTGACAACGCTAATGACTTGGAAGGAGTACCCCCTCAAGCATCCAGCTCTGTCTCCAAAGCCAGCCTCCAGTAGTATTGCCCAAAGGAGAGCTTCCAATTTACTGGCAAAATTGGTGGCGCCTGTGAGGGTGTGATGCTGTTGGTTGCAAAACTTGGTCTACTAGTTACTAGTCACCGACTCACTGACTATCACGAATCACTATCACCATCACCATCACCGTGTAATTAATTATGTCAAAAACAACTGATCTGATCAGATCATCTGATCAGGTCACTGTGACTGTCACTGCAGAATGAAATCTTTTGCCACCTCACCTGCCTTGTTCCAAACACATAACAGGCAAGACTCTTCTCTTGGTCGATACGGGCGGGGGGCAGTGCTGGTTTCCAAGGGCATTCGCAGCGGCAGTCACAGCCACAGCCGCATCCTCAATGGACAGGCCACTTTCCAGATCTAAGGAGTCCAAATAGGCCGCAGTGGCGCTCACAGTCCTTGCAAGTTGCAAGCGCGCTCTGGCTCTGTATTTGTATGGTCCTATTCCTTCCCTCCCCTGTGTACATTGGTTTCGGTGGCAGGTGGTGTTGTATTGTATACGGCTTTAGTCTTTTAGTAACCAGTAACCAGGTAACCAGACCAGACTGAAGCCAGAAACACTTAGTAGTTAGTTCAAAGCGTCCAGCGTCTCCGACTCCTCCGAGAAAGAAAGTAACCAGGCCAAGGCCAAGCGGCCACACTAGTCACTAGACTCTAGACGAGTCTAGAATCTAGACCCAATGAAAACTGAAAAAACGACAAAAAAACAAACCATGCTTAAGTAGCCTTAAGCTTAGCTTCATGGGAACTGGGAACTTGGAAACATGGAGCTTCATGGAACCTTCAAATCTTGGAGCCTTCAAGTCCATACGCACACTTGTTTGGGCATCAGGATTGATTCTGATTGAGGACTAAGATTCTGTTTAATTTGAAAAAACATCATCAGTGGTAGTGGTGGGGGGTGACTGTGGGGTGGGTCACAGCCATCAACAGCAAGCCGCTGCTTTTGAGTCCACCGGCTAAAGCGCTTATTCGCATTCAAGGCTAGCTGCCGGCTACCACGACCATATCCTCCTTCCTACTTCCCTTCCTACTGCTGCTGCTGAATCACAACCATATCCTTATCCTCATCATCGCTCAGCCTCATTACGGATTGTGAGCCGTGCAAAGCACAAGTGCAACGGCGTTGTTGGGTTTATTCCAGGCTTTGACTTTTCTGTTCTCAGGCAACGCAAAGATCCTGAATCCCACCTCACTAGTAGTGCTCGTTGAGTAGTGGTGAGTGGTGGTCAGTTGAGTCAGTGGTCAGAGGAAGTGGGTAGTTGGTAGTAGTCTACTAACTAGCACTAGTACTAGTACTAGTAATACTAATACTAAATACTGATTCCTAATTACTAGTAGTATTAGTAGTAGTAGTAGTAGTAGTAGTAGTAGTAGTAGTAGTAGTTGCAGTTGTAGTTGTAGTTGTTGTTGTTGTTGTTGTTGTTGTTGTTGTCATTTGTCAGTTGTCAGTTCAGTTAAGTTGTATTGTAATTATTGAAAGTTAAAGAATTGAATGGAATGAATGGAATGGAAATGTAAAGTTGAGTCAGTCGAGTTGAACGCAGTGAATGAAGATGATGATACTGATTGACTCATGGCATCATGCATGGCATGCGCCCGGCATGGATTAACAATTATATATATTATAGCAGTAGTCAGTAGTACTCAGTAGGAGTACTAGTGACTAGTGCTAGTACTAGTCGCCAGGGGCCAGTTGCGATTCCTGAGTAGTAGTGGGTGGGCTGCAGCTGACGTCTGAAGTCGGTAGGTAAATAGGTCGGTAGCGGTATGAGTAGGAGGTAGAGGACTCATGGACTCAAGGACCATGGCAGGGGCCGACCAACACCACCATCAACCGCCTACCTCCCACTTGTCAGTGGCCCTGGCAGGCTGCCACCCCCGAGAACCCGGAACAGCTTCTGAATGCTGTGACAAGCCTCCGGACGCTGTACTCTTCAATGAGCAGCAATTCTGCTTTTTGATCAGTTGCATCGAAACCTGACCATCACTGACCGTGGCCGTGACTCCAAGACTGAATGATCACCGATCACGACTCACGGCTCCAGGCTCTGACTCAGACTGTCACTGTGACTCATGACTCATGAACAAACAAGTAGCGACCCAACTGATGATCAGCCAACTAGGTCCAAGTGGCATAAGGATAGCCACTCAGAACCAAAAGTGTTTCTTTGCCAGTACATCCTTCTCATCACCATCATTAGTATATCCAGCTTATACTTTGCTCTTGACAGTGTTGGGGCACTTGGTCCCAACTGTGCGTCTGAGTCTTCACCATCACGATCACGATCCTTACAGTGGCCAGTGGCACACACCAGGAGGCAAATTGGGGAGTTGAGTTAAGTTGAGGCAAAAAACAAAAACTTTCAGGAAAAATTGGAAACTACGACTATGAGTCACATTGGAAATTGGAAATTGAGGCATTGGAATCATTGGAACCTGTCAGCCACGGCAAAGGAAGGTTGACTTGAGGTCTGAATTGGTAACTATGAACTATGGTATGGTAACTACTACAAGGCTCTGAGATCAATGCCCCCAACTCTGGAGGTAAATCAGGAAAGTCTGCATCAGAAGTAGTGCTTCCCAGTGCAATTTTCAAACTGGTTCGGAGCGCATAGTCAAAGGACGCCGTGGTTTTCAATTCCAGAACCCTTAGCCGAGGGGGGTGTGATTGAATCCAGACTGGGTTCCACAGTTGTCAACTGTCAACAACCAGACATACCTATCACTGTCTGATCTGAGATCTGAATTAAACTTGAACCCAAAAAACTGGGGGCTGAGGCTGGGGCCCGGGGGCAAGAGGGACCAATGGTGCAGGAAAGTTACAATGCCATGTATTGGGCCAATTGCCAAATCCCATATGCCTTTTGCCCACCTTTCTTGCCAACAATCTTTGGCCGCAACTCATTCTGAATGTGCTCCGTCATGAATCCTCCACTGCCAGTGCCAGTGGCCTGCTCACAAATTGGGTTGCCGATGGATATATCAGGCTGCGGCTCTGCGGGTTTCAGTTTTGAACAGTCACAGTCAGACTACCAGGTGACCAGACTCAGACTCCAGAAGTCTCAGTCTCAGACTCTCAATCTCGGAATCACAGTGACAGTTCGAAAGCTTCTCCTCCTCTGTAGTAGTGTTTGTTTACCACAAGTTTTACATTTCCTGGATTCCTGGCCTGCATCAACGCAGTCATTTCCTGCATTGCAGATCTGTATCTGTCCACCTCGGCTGCAGCTGTTGATAGACTAAGACTCAGACGTCTCAGACTCTCAAACTCAAACGACTTGAAAAATCAAGACTGTGTGCCCTGTTCCAGTGCCCTAGATTTTGACCTTACTTCAAGGCTTCAGGATTCAGTCTAATTTACGATCCAAAACTCGTCTTGCTTTCCTCGGACTCAGTCAAGTCTGCAAGTCTGTAATCTAGAATCTAGACTCTAGAAAAGGAAACCGGCTCAACACCAATCTCCCTGTCATTCATCCAGTTCTTTATTGTTTCTGCTTCTGGAACCGACTGGAACCTTATCATGGCTGAGACTCCTCTTCTTTGGTCCCATGCTCAAGCACTGGTCCAGCGGCAGCGACAAGATGGTCATAGGCAAACGCAGCGGAAGCTGCAACATTCTGCATTCATCAGCTGGGATCTACAGTAACCCTCAGAAGTATAGGTGTCACAGTCTTAAGTCAACCAAAAAACATATGCATCCTTAAAATTCCTCCTGAAGTCATGTTACCTGTGTCCCTTGGTTGATCGGCTATATGTTTTTTGTCAACACGCTACCCACATGCTTGCGGGGAAGTAACAAAAAAGGTAGTGGACCCCAATGAGCAAAAAACATAGCGTGGGAACGAGCTTCCATTGGCAGATGCACACACCACTTGAACACAGCCAGCAGTCTTGCGCTCCCAAACACTCAAAAACCTGGGAATTATATAACTGCTCAAAGTTTCTTTTTGGCCCAGTGCTTTATTTTAGATCATTTCTCTTCCAGACCTGAAACTGTTCTACCAATATTACATCAAATACCAAAAAATATATAATATTTTTTTGTTATTTTCACGGTGGGGTTGCGAAATTCCACATAATTTAAACAACAAAAAAACATATATATATAATATATATATATATTATATTGAATGTGTGGTTTTGAGTAACTGGAGTTGGAGCATCAGAGTCAGATCACGGAGCAAAGTTATACAATTAAAGGTGATTTGCTCATCCAAAAACATGTTAGCTCTGGAACGTGGATGAACATTGTACAACTCCGACACATTCACCCAATGTTTTAGACTTTAATTTGTCCAGGTCCAATGGAATCAGCAAAGCATGCGATGCTTCCACTCAGCAACTCCGGTTCACAGAAACATCGGCGCAGCGCAAACACAAACAGAACCCTATGGCCCCCCCCAAGAGGCCGTCCTTTCCGCATGCACTGATGCAGGCGTTGTACGTGATTGTATCTTGCTGAACCTGTGCAAACTGCAGCAGTTTACAACATACAAAACGGATTGCAATCCAAGGTGATGATTGTCAGCCAGTTGGAACACCATCTTGGTGTGGTCTTCCAGCGAGCCAATGGAGTTCGCATTACTTCTTCGCACATGGTGAATCTTGGTAGCTGCAAGATATATATTATATATACACGATCTGCCACAGTTCTACAAATACAGCAAAAGAATATGACCGGCCTCTGATGCTTGCATGTTGGACATCAAATCTAGGGCGACATTCCATCGGCCCTGCTTCTCGCAGCTGCTGACCAAAGAGTTCAGGGCGATCGTATCCAACCTACACAGGACATGGCAGACTCTTGGTGGCAGCCGAGAATGAAAAAAGCCTTCCAATTTCCGGCATACTCATCACAACATTGATAGTTTTGTCCGGTTTCTTGACATTGACACATCACACCGGTGTGTGTGTGCGCTATTGGACAATCCAAAAGTAGCTTAACCTCCGCAAGCTATTTCTCGCATGATGAGACAAAACTTTGTTGCCAAATCCATGAGGTTGGGAATGGTGGCGAGTTCATGTTGCAGATCCTAGCTGAATATGATGTGTTCCTCTTCTTGGTGGACAAAACCAAACAAGCTCATGTTGCATCATGTCATCCCCTTGGGCCCAGCCCGACCCCTCGTTCATCTTGATTATTACTTGTTTCATTTTCGGTCTGGGGCTTTACACCCCAGTCGGCCCAGGTTGGACACTTGCTGCCTCCAACCTGTGGAGAGCACGAGACCTGGACCTGGTCAATCCGAGGCACTGGACCTGCTGGTCTTCCATCTTCTCCAAAAGCGCCAGCGCCAGCTGCCAGATGGCGCCACATGCATTGATGGCGCTGCTGAAGGAGATCGTGTCGTAAGCAACCTCTCAACCACACAAAGAACCAAGAACGATGCTGATGTGAAGGCACCACCTGTCACAACTTCATTCTTCGCTCAACCTGACTTCTCGGTTCTTGTAAGAGGTATTGCTTTTGCAAACAACAACCGTCAATGAACATCAACTTGGCGCAAACTTTTCTTTATTTAGGAGCCAATCGTAAGCGTTTCTAAGAGTGGATTGTGAGGCAGGACCGGATCTTTGAATGATGCGTGTTTTCCTTCAGATTCTGAAAGCCCGAAACAAAAGGACAACATAATTTAATCTTGTAATAGTAACAACAAACATCTATTGAGCGTCTGGACCAAACTCGAAGCTTATGGACAAGCGCTGAACGGCCAGTTCGGCACCTGGATCTCCTCCATCTCTGTCAGCAACATCAAGGCTGGAGCCCATTGACGCTTTCGTGCGCAAGCACTCAGCACACAGTTGAAGTGCACTGTGCTCACCTCACAGAGAAAGGTGGAAAATTCTGGAGCGCATTGGAATGAATCGAAACCCTGATCTGGCGGGAAGGTGGTCAACTCATTGACTCGTTGAAGGGCTGTCACTACGTCACTAGGATGCCTTCTTTGAGGGAACTTTCTGAGTACGTCTTCCTGTGTTCTGTTCTCTGGGCTTGCCTTTGCCAAAGGATCTGAACTCTGTAAACAGCGTGCCGGTTGGCAAAGGCGCAAAGTCCACGGGCGATGCCTCCTGCCTCCAAGTGATTTTCCTGCATCGCCTGCAGCACGTGATGACACAGCTGCAGCTCTTTGGCCTTCGCCAGCTGTGAGAGAATCCAGGTTCCTTGCTGTGGAGCCTTCCTCCATTGCTCCAAGACCTGGAATATCTAGGACGAAGCAGTCGGATTTGAAGTGGCTCTATGGGGGTCGATTCTATTCTCAATGCTTCATGCAATTCTCATCATTCAGACTCGGGGAACCATTTTATATAGTCTGATTGGATTGTACAAAGATGTACGAAAAGGAGCGTGAATGAATGGCTGTGCATCTTATTGAGTTCTCACGGTTTTAAGAACAAGAAGCTACTAGAAACAAGAAGCTACTAGGGTCTCCTGGCCTTACTACTAGGAGCAAGGACGCAACTAGGGGCTCCTGGCCTTACTACTAGGAACAAGAAGCTGCTTGTTGGTGCCAAGGGACTTCTTCCAAGACGGAGTGCAAGGTCTGATCCCGGGCATGGAGCAATGCATGCAGCAGGTCATCACGGGGCGACACACGCATTGTCGCTAAGCATGGCTTTGTTCACGTGCAGGAGGGCATGGTGCCTTTTGGAAGTCAAGAAGTCTGCGAGTGACACCGCCTGCAACATGCAACCGCTCCAGTATTCTCTGCAAATAGACTTTCTGCCAGTGGTTTGGAGATACAGCTTGGCGAACGTTGCGCTTTGCTAATCATACGTTGAACTCTTTGATTTGTTAAGCCGCTAGTTCTTGATGATAGAACAACCCTGAACTCTGGACTAAGCAGAATCACATGTTGGGCTTGGACTTTGCCTCCTTCCTGCATGAGAATTTCACAAACATCCAAGAACACAAAATATCTGATGTTGTCTGATTAAAAATACAGCTGGTGTCATCTTCCTTTTGCACACATATCTGTACCTCAGCATGGCTTTGCCAGCACCTTTGTACAATGCACCGGTCGTCTCGCATCCGGTCTCAGAATTGTAGCTCACTCACACGACCTGAACAAATGCACAACGTGGAAAAAGTAAGTTGGTCCGTACCAACTCAAGCTGACCGTGGCAACCTGAGTTCTGACCATTTGGATGGTCATAAAGTTAGGATATCCAACCAGCCAAGTCTAGAGTGAAAACCATGGACGCAATATTAGATTATTAAGACCTTTCTTCCTTTTCATGTGTTCTTTGTTTCTATATTAGTAGCGATGGCCTCCAACCTACAGTAATAGCGATGGCCTCCAACCTAAGAGAAGTCGGGTCTCCGCGACCTGTCGTTTGTGCTGTGCTTGTGAAACCAAACATGACGACGGCCGCCAACTGGCGTATTGGGCTCCAAGCGGCGTCAGTAGCTGCCAACTGGCGTGGTGGGGGCTTAAACATATCACATTCATGCTGTGATATCTGATAGCCAGTGCCACACCATGGAATAGTAACGCATGCCACGGTGATTCTGATGAGAGGAGAGGGGGGTTTTCGATTGCAATACTTCAAAAGAAACGTATCTTCTGACTCATTAATTGAAGGTATTCTCGGTATCGCCATGGTAACATGTTCGGCACGATAAAAATCCTAAACAAGCAAGAAGCACATTTTCGCCACATCACACATAACTGTTTTGCTTGTTTTCCACATCGCGCAAGAGAATACGGTAAGCTGTTTGAGTTTGGTATGTTTTGCATGAACTAACGCGGAGATTGCTTGGCTCCATTGTCTAATATTGTCACTGTAGGCTACAGTTCTTCAGCCTCCATATCGGTCTGCACCTCAAACTCGACACGCAAAACCGCTGAAAAGAAATGGACATGGCATGAGATTCCCTGCTGTACGTTGATTTTCTGGACATCAACGCAGCTGGGTCCAGGTACTCCGGCTTTTGAGTCTAAAGCAATTACTGAGTCATCAGGTATGAACATGTGCACAAGGAATCGTGTAAAAAACTTGATTCTAAATGCTAATGACAAACATTAACACACGCACACACTTATATACAGTGCTCTACAAGAATCATGAGTTATGAGTTGTGACGAATACAGTATTCCTCCTGGATGCTTTGTTCAGCCATGTTCAGGTTGTCCTATCCCTGAAGTAGAATCTTTTTTGAGAAGAATGACTCAACAGTTTGATTTCTTTTACATGGCGTCAGCAGCTCGTGACAACATGCTGATGTTCGCTGATGATTCTCTTGGAATGAAGTCACCTAAGGCGCTCACGAACATTGTGGGGAAGTCCGCCATGTCATCAATCACCACAGACGCCTGGAATGTATGCAGTACTAGGCCACAGTACTGCAAGTATAATTACCTCCCTCCAACAGACATGGAAGTGGACAAACCCCTGTAGAGGAAAATGGTCTTTCCGAAGGCCATGTTCCACTTCCATGATTATTAGAGGGAGGGCAACCAAGGGTGGCAGCTCGGTTGATTGAACGCCCAAACTCGACTGTCAGCAATGCCCTGTTTGGAGAGATGCAACTCAATCGCACCTTGTCTACCACGACCCCCATTGTTCTGTAGTAAAAAGCAGGATCAACACCAAAGTTGACCCACCATTCCGAACAAGCCAACCATACAATCTAGCAAGACCACCCAAAAACCTCCGAAAACCATCCTAAGAAGCCAATCGTCCCATCTTCTTCTGCATCCGCCGAGATCGCGCCGAGATCCGAAGCCTGTGCATTCGCCTGGATGAAGGAGGCTTCCTCCTCCTCAAAGGTGGCACCACTGGAGACTTTCACCTGAAGCCTGGCCGCGCGCAGCCGAGGTGCCGAAGAGTGGCCTTTTCTCCAGCGGCCCGGAGCTTGGAGAACTCCACCCAGAGCGCGTGGGGTGGGGTACGACGTTGTCCCTAGCCTTCAAAGACATCTTCTTAGCATGGTTGACCCTGGTCCTTTTGTAGTGTAAAATCTGTCGTAAAACAATCATGGTGGTTCGGGTCAAAAAAGGCGATGATTTCTCCACAGCAACAGCCCGCCGCTGTCAACGGCGACGGCCCCAGGCCCGCTCTGCCCCGGTTGAGCTCCCCGGCAGCTCTGTCTTCAGGGCTTCCGCCTGGTCGATCGTTCGGTCGATGGATCCGGGGGTCTCCGGTGGTCGAAGAGTCTCGAGCGAAGCCTTGTGCATCCTCCTGTAGACTCCGCACAGAACAAAGTGTGCTCTTTTTGCTGGAGCTCGTTCTTTCTTTGAGAGAAACCCCATCCATCCAATCCATCTAACGGAGTCACCTTCAGCATCTTCGTATTTGACCAGGCTAGCAACGCATGAGCTCAATCCACCCATGGCCCAAAAGCAGCAGGAGATGCCTCTGCCATCTCAACAGCCTCAATCTCCTCCTCACCGCATGCCTTACACAATCAAATTGAACATGGGAAACTGTATTGCCCACCCGTCCCCGGAAGCCCAAGATCATCAACAAAATCCATGTCCAACGGTGGTTGATCTAAATTCCTTCTTACGAAAACACAATTCTTCGCGAAACAAATCTTTACTTTCACGAGTCTTTCGTGAACTCCATGTTTAACTTTCGTGGTGGGGTATATCCTAGAAGTCTCCTGTTTCCACACATCTATCTTTTGCAAATCTTTCGGGAACAAACCATCTTATAGGGATTCACTGTAAGATGGCACATGCAAACCTGGGACGGAACATGGCATATGAGTCAAAATCAACCTCAGCAACCTCAAAAACCTCAAACGCTGGAAAAACGCGCATTTGTCCACATTTCCCCTTTGTCACTGTACTGTAAAGATCATGCTATGAAACATGTGTCCTACTTCTTTTCCTTTCCTAGATTTTTATTTTGAGCCTTGCTCTCTCTCTCTCTCTCTCTCTCTATCTCTCTCTTCTTTCCCCTGTTTTCTACCTTCCTCCTGAGAGTCTCCCCTCTCATCACCTGGCATCTGATATGTGCCAGCTTAATGGATCCACTCATCCCAGCTCTCCGCCCTTTTTGGTTGTCTCTCATGGCACGAGTAAAAGCAAAGTTTTGGAGGGATAAGTTGGCATCCCTACCTGTGTGCCATGTTTCTTTTCCACTCCATGATGTCACCCGTTGCTAGTGGTCAACTTGGCATTTTGAGCACTTTTACTTGTGCCATCTTACAGTGAATCCCTATAATGTTCCAAGCTTGAAACAAGAAAACGTTCGCAAACAACATAAAAGCCTCTCAATGAACCTATAGGCCTTATGTTACCCTTTGATCAACTACCAGGGCTAACGACAGAAGACAACACTTGCGCACACACATTTTTGTTAGCACATGTTAGCACCTTGTGATGTTACGGGATGATGATGAGGGGGAGCTGGTGAACTTGCCTTGAAGTGTTGCATTTGAACGGCACTTATTTCGGACATCAGCTATATCATTATAGCATGCTATATCAACCCAATCGCCAAGTTCAACAAACCATCATCAACCTGTTGAACTGCCGTGCCTCCTGGTCTGGACCAATGGCCAAGGACTCCTGGAGTCGCCAAATCTAGATTTGGCGCAGAATCCATGTCTGGTTCCATAAGGTTCCTGAATCAACGCGCAAATTGTACTTCCAAAAGAAATATCCGATAAGTCGATAAGGCATCCTCAGGCCCTCAGACCAAACACATCGGCCCTTCCTACAGTAAGAGTTCCTAAGTGGTCTCATCGTTTTGGGTCGGATCGTCCTGCAGGGCGAAGAGTCCCATAAGCAATAGAGGAAGCCTCACGAAACGCCGACTCAACACCGAACAAGCTACTAGGGGCTCCAGTCATCGCTACTAGGAGCAAGACTGGGAAATGCAAACGCTTGCAACCTCATGTTTTACATCTCTTTGCCCTTATGCAGAAGATTGCAGAAGGATGATGTCGTTTGTGCGAAGCTCAGCCCGGGCCTGAACATGCTTCCGTCTAGTTCTGGTTCGGTTTGCCCGAATCTCGCCTTGAGCAGTCAAGAAACTAACAATGCGCAGGTTCTTGAAAACTGAAAACTGTCCAATCTCTAGGTCCCTATGTGCTCCACTTCGAAACGCGAAAGTTGCAAGCACCAAATACCCCCACTTCCTTGAAGTCTCACACTCTGAAGTCTCACCTGATTTGGAGCCTTTCCACTTCACCATTGTCTTCAATGACGCACTTTTGAACCCTTTTACGTTTGATACCCAAGTCTGTTGCGAAGAAGACGCTCAAATTGCGCCATTACAATTCGTCATGCCAACAGCGCGACTGGCAGCAGCGGCCGAAATCCTTCAAAAAGGCGCTGGCGGCCTCTTGAGATGCCAGAACATTTCTTGCATTAGTTGAATGTCTGCTTCCTGGAGCAGTATGGTGTATTGGGCCATCCAAGTGTTTTTCGTGGCCCCAATTAGCACACACCATACCATACACATAAAACAGGTGTCCATCACCAGTCACCAGTGGGTGGTCATAGCAGGGTGGTCATGGCCCCAGCAGTCCAATCTCTGGAAACAGATTCCTATGCTTTAAGGCTCCGGACTGCTGTTGGGGTTCCCTACCCAGCGAGAGCTGAACCGAAATGCGAGGCGGCGTGCGCGTCCTTCATTTGTGGTATGGTGGAATAGATGTCTCGTGGATTCCCCGAAGATGCCAACGACTATCGGAGGTCCAGCTAGGACCAAGACCAGCATGTTGACTCGATGAAATTATATAGCAAAACAACGAGAAAGGATGGCCGGCATCAGAGGGCGTCAGGTTAAGTTTCTTTTTCACATCTCAAACTGTCGAGATTGTTCACATCTCTAGAGATTCACCTCACCCATATTTCATCATATTTCTCTGTTGACCCTGCCCTGTCAGGAGATGCTCCCCTTCTTGCACAGTCAGCTCCAACCAAACAGGCAGTCGCGCACTATTTTCTGCTTGTCGTGAGCATTAGCTGCACCATGCTGCATCAACTTCCCTCTCGTGAAAATGCCCGAAGTTGTATAAACTGACCTTGAAATACACATTGTGGCTGCAAGATTCTGCCAACCAAAAATATATTCAAGCCATCAGGGCACCGCTGAGGCAAAAGCTATAGATTCTGCTTATGGTCCCTGCCTCTCTGTACATCAGGCTTGCATCTTCTGGATCTCCATGTCGAAAGCTTCGAAGAAATTGAACCAGCCACTATTTCAAACTCCAAATTATGCAAAAGGTTCAATCTCATCGCGATGATTCTATGATCACCGCCTCCAAAGTCGTGCAAAACCGTGAAGGTCTCTCTCTGATGCTCAGGAAGGGCGTAAGATCACCGGAAGTTCATGGACTAAAGGTGGATCATCAATGCGTCACGAAGGATTGATACTGCTCTATAGCTCTGACCGTTCCTGGGTTCTTCCTGCGGGCGCCGGGAGCTTCGAGGCAAACACCCAAAGGCAAACATCATGCCCCTGCATGCCCCTGCTTGGAGACGAAGTTAGAACTTTTGGGAACGAACCAAAGGTACCGGGGGGGTTCGTTCGAACCTGAGACAAAGCCTTAAGACATATGGTCTCAACTATTCGCAAATGCTCCACGTAATTCATTCACCCGACCAGCACCCAAATGTCGGCTATATTGGCTTAAATGAAGCATCCGTCTGATTAGTACAGGCCCTGAATGAACGAACTTTTGTTTGAAACCTGAGCAGGGAATGAAAAATAGGTCCTTCTGCCCTGACAAAATTGGTCCTTCTGTACATGTGCAACATAATGATCACCAAGCATGTCAAATCGACATAGGTGCAAACCTGTTTGACTTAACAATTGTAAGACATTGTCCCTCTCTCCAGTTAAAATTCTAGATTCATTGACCTTCTCAGAAATGATAACATCACCGGACTGCCTCGCTTCACATGGCACTAATTCCTTGTTCTCAAGCCCTGTCAAAATCGGTCAAAGTTCTGAGTGACGTTGCGAACTCTAAACCAGCAAGCAAACGTCCTCACTTTTGCATCCAGTAGGTTGAGAATTCCATCGACCCCAAACTACACCCTTCAATACAAAATACGAGAATGAATACAACATTATTCTGCTGATCATCTTGAAACTCATCTTGAATCTCTCCAGGTTTCAATCCTCTCCTCCATCCGAAAACCGCCGCAGCAACGGCAGCACGTAGCGGGACACCACACGCTCTGGGCTGAAGTCCTCCACCATGCGCCGTCGGGCGGCCTGGAGAAGGGGTTCAACCGCCAGCCATGTTTAACCATTACAAAGTGCTAGGAGTAGTACTAGGATGTACTATATATATATATATAGGTATTGGTTGTGGAATACGATCAGTAGCTCAAGATTCCCTATAGATCATGTGTCGTGTCGAGGATTTCGGAGGATTCTGTGTTCGGGACTGTTCATAAAGTGTGCTCGTCTATAGTTGCTCACCTTACATTCAAAAATCCTAGTTCCTCAAAACGGTGTATGTTTGTGTATTGCCCATGACACAAATGGTGTGTGGATATTTCAATTTTATGGTCTAACATCAAATTGTCAAAGAGCCCTATATGGCATATGTCATGGCCAAGCCTGTTGGCCCTGTGGCGTTGCCGGTGAATCCCGGCAGCAGGTCTGTCAGTTGTTCAGCTGACCAAACACGAGGTTAAACAAAGAAGCACCATCACAAGCTGTATGTCTCTATGTTTCGATCTGACGCCAAGCTGGCAGGTTCAATTCTGATAATGAACAGCACAATCTTTGAACTTTGCACACTTGAACATGCACCACCAATCAATCACAAAACTACACCACCTGCACATTATTTCGACATGAGCTAAACATAATTACAAATCCCAACAATACCGCGTAACCAATCGCAGGCATGCTTCCTGCCTCCCAACCTTGACATCCTCCACAGGTCTTTCAGACTCGACTTGCTTCCCGATTCCCAGGGCTGCCGTTTTGCTGGTTCTACTTCATGTCTGAGCGCCTGGCCAAACTACATGGCTGAGCTCAATTGGAAACTTCTTGTGAGTTACGCCAAAAGCCTCTTTGGGCACTATATAAATGCAGGGAACACAGAGGTGGAACTTCATTGAACCTCATTCAGAAGACCATGGCATTCCTTGGGGATGTGGAAACTGTACTTGCATGTTGTTCCATTTTGGCAGTTCCACCTTAGGATACATTGCAGAGTTCCAGGTTCGACCACTCGAAGCTGGCAGGTTTCATTTTTCCCAGCAAGGCGCCATAAACCACGACAGGCCACGCTGCCTGCCGATCATCAAACTCCAAGTCGTGGCCATCGGTGTTGCCCGGAATCACATATTCCCAAGGCATAAAGGGAACACCCAGATCAGCCGCTGCCGAGATGTGGGCATAGAAGAGGTCAGGTCTCTTATACCGGTCTTTGGTGCCAAACTCCTCATGCACCACTTTCCTTGGCCAACACGCAAACATATGAAAAGGAAAGAACATACCCACTCACTGTTGATATGCAGTGATAGTGATAGCTGAAGATGGAATCTTTCCATGAGTCCTCTCCAACTTCCACCGAGGCTCTTGCCATGCTTCATGCCCAAATCCCTCGCTTTCTCGATGCTGTTATACATGTCTGTCCAATTTGGCGCGTTATAGTCGTGCAACGTCACCACATCAATGTTCGTGCAATTAAAGAATTCGGGACGACTGCTATCTGCAAAGGCCCGGCCTCCGCCCGTGCCAATGAGGATCTCCTGGACTCGACGTATCATCCCCAAGGATATATTGATATCTTTCGAGCTTAAAGCATGAGACACTGTGAAGAAACATATAGTTTCTATATGGTTCTTTCCACAACAAAAGAAGTGAAAACTATGTAACTATCTATTCACCAAGTGGCTGAGTGGAGGAGTTTGCGCATGACATTGGCCCGCGCACAGTGCCATCCTGAGACCCAGGAGGAGTCCAATCCTTGGGCCTCGTTCTGAATCTCGAACATGGCCACGACCTCTTTGAGCTCACTCCACTTCTTCTTGAAATATGGGTTCCTCAGGCCAAGAGGGGGGGGGGCAAACTTGTTGCTGTTGAGGCAAAAGTAGTTGCGTCCATTGCGTCAAGCTGAACATGTCTTAGTAGGACTTAGCAGGACAGAACATCTTGGATCAAATGTCAAACTGTCTTGAAGCACCGGTGTGTTGAGGCACAACCCTAAGACTCATCATACTTACATACTTTTTTGCCAAAGATTCGTATGGTTCAAAATGGTCTCTAAGCGCTGGTCGTAGAACTTAGTGGCGTTTTCATCCTGGTAGAACTTTGTGCCATCATTCCTCAGCTGCTATCCAACTCGCGGGTAAAACATTACCAAGAGCTGCACATTCTGTTCTACCGTATTTCTCTGTACTTCGGATCATAACATGGACAGTCGTGCCGTTGTGCATCGTTGTGCTGCCACGGCTCGCAGATGTGCAACCCGTAGTGGAAAAACCCTTTTCCTCTGGAAGGCACTTCAGTTTGAGGTCCTTCTGATAGCCGTCGCATGACCAGCAGCCAAGTGCATATCGGTCATGCAGTGCGATGATGAGTTTAATACCGTATTGCTGCGCCTTGAGCATCAACTTGTCAATCATATTCAATACGGTGTAATCATATTCTCCCATGTGCTTGGGTTCGAAGTGAGGCACAAAGGGGCTTCCGGTGCCTTTGGCATTCTTGTCAACACCTGCGACCCAAACACGGACGGCTTTCAGCCCAAAGCTTTGCAAGTCTGACAGAATGGTGTCTTGGTGATCCTCCGGCAAGGCGTACAAGAGGTAGGAGTTCACTCCACCCCAGTTGCATTGATTCGTTTTATCCGTATTCCTCGGATCCAAAACCATGCGTTCGGGAACTAAGGGGATCGGAGTCGTGGTCGTGGTCGTTGGGCAGTGCGGTCGAAAGTGGTATGAAGAAAAGTGATGGTGATGATACCAGTTGTTCGTCGCGGAGAGATCTGACTGCAGTGCGTGCGCACAAGACAATGCCACCAAGGAGATTCTGAGCATGGCCATTGTCAGCTGATCAGCTGTCTAGTAGAAAGTAGAACGTGGGGAAGCAAATTGTGCTTGAGAAAGTTGACGGGTCAGGTTCATCCTCAGCGATAATCATTTTCTACAACAACCCTCGGAAGAGCTGTAATGTTCACATATTTTCACTACTGTGACTATGATGAAATACAAGTCACATCAATTCACCAATGTCTCCATCTCCCATCCATCCAAAGTCCTGCCTCTCCCAACTTCTTCGCCTCCCCTGGATGCTGCTGCGCCCAGCGCATCAGCCGCCGCAGCGCTTCACTTGAGGGCTCGGCCCAGCGGCCGACGGCGCCCTCCGCCTTCGCCAGGCCGTCGATGGGAAGCGGCAAAGCGATGTCCGCGGACAGAAAGTCCTCGGACTTTTGCGATGTTCAAGACATGGGAGGCAGAAAGAGGCAGAAGGAAGAAGAGAAGAATGGATTGACATGTCAGATCTATTTTACATGGTCGTTTTACTCTGTTTTGTTTCAGGATACCACCGTACCCTTCAGGCCTTCAGGAAGGTTCTGGGTAGGAGCGGATGGTCCGCTTTTGTGCATGGACCGAAGGAAACTTGTTTTTTCCGTCCGAGATGGTTCCGCTTGTGTGCCCTTGTTCCTAGTAGCTTCTTGTTCCTAGTAGTAAGGCAAGGAGCCCCTAGTAGTGTCCTTGCTCCTAGTAGCGATGCCCTTTGCTCCTGCATGTTTGTGGGGGGCCTTTGGGAGTCCTGATCCGGATCTTCCTGGACGTTCCGAATCTTCTGTGGGCTTCGAAAAGGAGCGAGCCCCGAGTGGCTCGGAACGCGCAAGGTCAAGAAAGGTCATTCCCAGATCTAGGATCTTGGAGCACATGCCACGCAAAAGCCCATTGATTGGCCAACTAACTGGCCGCGAGATGAAGGATACCTTTCTTCCCCATTCCAATTCCAACATCCCTGTGAGAAACATAATAACACACCCATGCTCTCGTGGTCTACTCCTGGTTCCATCAAATTTCATCATCCTACCCTCCGCCTACTCCACTCTCCTCTCTGCCTTGCAACCTCTCTCCGAGGTGTTTGGCCGAATCGAGTGCATCGGAGTCCGGGCGTCCGTGGAGCCACTCCAATTGGTGGCGATCACTGGAAGCGACATCGCCATGGCCTCCACGTGTGGGCGTCCCCAACCTTCACCTGCGCAGCCGCGCGGTAGGGCCAAACGCTCAAAAGAATTTAGAGTGTGGAGGAATCAGGCTGACGGCAAGCAGGTGGTTCAATCAATAGCAGGTGAATGGGAACAACAAAAAGATCAACGTGAGATGAACAACCTTCACAGCGATCCAAGGAATTAAGTGGCCAGAAAACTGAACATGAGTGACATTTCCGACCTTTGGCAAGCCTCGTGGCATTTGTCGTGGTTGGTTGATAGACCATAAAATACTATAAACAAATATAATACCTCTAGAACGTCAGTCCTCCAAGTCGACTCCGCTTCCCAGCCTCGACTGGGCAAGACGAAGGCATCCGCCGCTTGGTAAAGCCTTGGCAGGTCCTTCAGGGTCAAGTCCTCTGAGAGCAGCCTCAGCGACGGTTGACGACGACGGTCGATTCAAGGGTTGGCCACTCCACAAAACGAGCCCCTGATGGTTCCTGTTGGCCGCCCTGTGCCTAGGGACTGAAAGCCGGACCCACTTTTCTAACATTTTTGGACTGCACGACGCTTGGTCATGTCATCACAAGATGTTGGGGGGGTGGGGTGAGAGTTAAATTCCCCGCAGTGGAGCATGTAATACACAATATCCCTGGATTCAACTCACAGTCCAACAAGGTTCACAAGAGCGAGTGAGCGAAGGCGACCGAGCGGCTGTTTTCACACGCACATACCTTGAGCCAAATGTTATTATGGCATGTCAATGCATTGCGTAAGAGCATAACGCAAGATACTGTAACCAAGTTGAAGCAATAGCGTAAACGGGGGCCCAAAAACAGAAAACAGAGGGGTGTTGTCATTTCATTCTTGTTTTCACATACGCCTCATGAGCATGAAGGCTCAAGACGTAGCCACGGTATGTGCTTTAGTTTTGTTGTATCGGTTGTCGGGTGTTTCTTGTCCTCCTTGTTTTGTGTGTTTTCTTCCTTTTTGGTGTATCAACCTTTTTCTTTAGACCAGTACGTAGATGGTTTCACTCGTGATTGTTCTGACCCTTTAGTTTCTTTTGTTCACGAAACAGTTTTGGGAGCAGGTGTCAGAAACTCGTCTTTCGTTGTTCAGGTTTTCTTGTAAAAATATATATATATATAACATAAACTAACTCCTTTTCTGTCAGGCAACTTGAGGTGTCACGACACAGCCTCTTTTAATTTAGGCAAAACGCATGACAACACACTGCGTTTACCAATGAATTTGACATGAGAACTTGCAAAATAGGATAAAATAGGATACGGTTTCAAATCCGTACGGTTGTTTGTCCAGGAATGCAAAGACCAGCTTGTAGGACTTGTAGGACTTGGAGGCAGTGTGACCAAGCAGCTGTGAAAGGATTCCCCTTGATCAACTGCGCCTATTCCATCTCAATGGTTTGTACTGATCAGGAGGATCTTCGAGACAACTCGTTCACAAGAATGGGTCAAAGGCCACTGGAATGCCACCAACCAAGTAGCTTGTACCTTGCTGGCTGATCAGGTGCTCCACCAGCTTCCTGTGCTTTGCTAATCTCTGCCAGCACCTAAGCTGTGCACGGCCATGCACGGTGGAATCCTAGATCAAATCAAGTGTGGTTTAACTCTTATGTGGATGGAACCTGAGAACGTACTTCTACGAGTTGGTGAGGGATAGGTTCGTTGCAACAAAGGTAACATGATTAGTCTTTATGCACCAGCCGACAAACAAAGTACAACTGCAACTGGCGGTCCAGCCTTGTTGTGAAAATCATCGTCGCTGTGGAACGCTTGGGTCTTGATGACCAAGATCACATCGTCTACAGCCGAAAACTCCTGGACAAAATATACCTTGAGTCTCCAAAGACCTGTTTTTTCTGCATGTTTGTTTTGGGTCTAATATTTTTGTGTTTTTGCCCGAAAAATGCGTATTCAGAGATGAGGGCTCAAGAAAAGGTACAATGCGAATCTTCATCCGGACGCGTCCGGTGCGGACGCTTAAAGACGCCTTTTGGACACATAAAGACGCGTTTTGGATGCCGAAAAAAGGTCTCAGGACACTGTCTAAGAAGGATCTGACAGGGCACAAACAAAAAAGGAACATTTCGTGACATATGCAAAAAAGAGTGCTTTCTTTCAAACACATCTTTTTCTTGGAAAGGCAAAATTAAAGGGTCATTGGAGACTCAAGGTATACCATAAAAGTCACTACTAGCCTATAGAGCCTATAGACTAGAATGCAATGCCAACAAATGTTAACCCTCCTAGATTAGCTGCGGCTTCGTGGGATGTGACTGTGAGGCAAGCAAGTGCATCGACATCTGTGAACTGTGGGTGCTTTCCGACAAAACTACCACCTTTTCGAGCTTTTCCAGTAACAAGAAGCTACTAGGGGCTCCTGGCCGTACTACTAGAAGCTACTAGGGGCTCCTGGCATCGCTACTAGGAGCAAGGACGCTACTAGGGGCTCCTGGCCTTACTACTAGGGGCTCCGACCAAATTGCTCCTGGAAGTATGCCCGGAGCAAGATGTCCCAACCTTTGCGCTTCTCCCACTTGAAGACCGAGAGGAAACGATAGAGGCCTTCCGTACCTGCCGAGCAAGCCTGTATCAGCTCCCCACGCCATTCTTCGGTTCCAACGATTCACCAAACCATCTTGGTTGCAACAAACATCGAACACCAAAGACCGCGGTGCAGAATCCCAAAGAATCCCTTGTTGCATGCCCCGCCTCCAATCGATGGGGAAAACATTGATTTTCTGTCCAAAATAGTTTACTGAAAACATCTCGTATCATCTCCACTCTGATTTTGGTTGGTTGCGGCACCTCCCAACTCCAACGCTTCATGCGCTGCTGGATCAAAAAGGTCCGTGTCGACGGCCTGCAAATGGAACAAGTGAGCGTTTCTGAGAACTTCAAAAGATTTCTGTCATCACAAAGCGCTTTTGTACCGAAAGCTTACACAGTGCTTGTGCGACTGCAGTTTTAGCTTACGCGCCTCGACAAGACATCGGAAGCGCAGCGCTTACGTCACCACAGTTTTTGCTTACGTGCAGGATCGCACAAGGGGGCTTACCGAATCGTTCAAGTGGAAGTTCCCATAAATGATCGTTTAGGTAATCATGGAGGTCCAAAGCAATTTGTTGGTCTTTGCATCCGCTGTGACTTATTTGAAATGATGTGTTCAATTGTTTTCGTATGTTTTCATGTTTGACATATGAGCGCCGTGTGCGCCGTTTTGTCTTTTGTTCCCTTCCGGTTTCGCCGTTGTCCGGGATTCACTGCGCATTCGAGTCAATCCAAGCGAATCCACAGCTCTCGGGCAAAGTTTCAGGTTGAAGCTCCGAGTAAAGCTTCACAGTTGCACAATGATTTGGAGAGCCCAAGCACAAGCTTTTCAGACCTGGCCAAGATGTAGAAATGGCCGTGTAGGCACAATGAACATGCAATGAAAATAGGCACAGGTAGCCCTCCAGTCCTTTCATCAGGGTGTTTGAGGGCCACATGGAAGCATTCCTTGGTCCCAAAGCGAGCAAATGGGGTCAAAGCCAATTCCAAAGGCCTTTTGACTTGTCTTCCGCACACATCTGTGTCCGAATAAACACTTCGCGATCCAATTCCCTTGCAAAGAGCCGTGTTTCAGAGTCCAACGTTAGGCATTGACTTTTAGGACACAGTCAGACCTGGCTGATCCAGATCCCGGTTGTCTTCCTTCAAACTTGAGGTGATGGCATTCCAAGCAGTTGCGTGTTTGTACGAAGTTGCAGCTACAGCTCGATGGCGGTGCAGCAAAGTCAAGCCAAGGAGGACAAGTGGCATGTACTTGCGTCTGGATGTTGGGATCTCAAACTACAATGGGTATCCGTAAATCGCCGCTCAAAGTTGGCACCGAGTCTGTGGAACCAATATATGTTGAGCGATTCAAGGCCCGACTCGTGTTTCACTCGTTTGAGCGATGTCTTGACCGACTCGCAGGACCCAACCGCACGGACCTTAACATGGACCTTGCTCGACACTCCTGCCTCAGCTCTCGCAGCTGAGGCAGGAGTGTTGAATGAAGATCAACGATCTTTCTAATAACTCTACAGTAGTGGACTATGAATCCGGAACTTGTGTGTCCAGTCATCCCAGCATCCCACATGCTGCTTCCTGCTGCTTGATGCTGCCACAGAGTACACAAAAACTGCTCGTTTTGTGGCTGCTGTTTGTACTCGTTGTATGCATTCTTACGCACAGCAGTCAGGTTAAACTACAGTGATCCACTCAGGTAATTCTTCCCCAAACTTCCTCAAGTTAGACAAATCTGAAAATGCCCTGCCGAAACAACACATTCCGATGCTTATACTTTATACGTCTCCACCCAAAACCTCTGGTTGGACACCTCTACCGCCGATCTCCGCCGATGTTCCAGCCGCCTCAGGTACCACGGCAATCTTGTTCCGCTGAACGCCACTGGACACAAAGTGTTCCAGGCCGAAGTGAGATGGCACCCAAACCTGGACACAGATTGCTGGATCTAGAGATTTACTCTAATCAAAGAATCCAGAAATAGCAAAATAACAGTCTTGTGATGTTTTGCGTAGAACAAGTGAGCATCAAGTCTCATCATTGATTCCTGCAGTACTGAAGGACACATTCTGGTTCACCACGCGACAGGATCAGGGCAGATTTTAGACACGAGCATTGCCGACACCCCACACCTATCCGGTGAGAATAGCTGGACATAGAAATGTTCTCGCAAAATATAGGAGAGAAAAAGAGTGGAGATCAAACCATCAGCATAGATTTGATGAGTGAGGCCGCCCTCCTTCAAGTTTTAATTTGTTTAACGGTCATGATTGAAACAAACATCCCACAAAGTCACTCGAAAGCGTGTTGTTCCGACTCAAGTGGGACCAAACCCCTGACGTCCCGTGCAACGAAACCTTTCACCTTTCTACCATATATTTTACTTCATGTTAATAGAATTCCTTGAGAACCGCTTTGAGAATCTCAACAAATACCTGACTCCACATGGACCAAGATATGACCCCAGACCGTGCGGTTGAGCCGTTGCCTCATCCATGCGGTTGAGGCGTGGCACCCAGGTTTCAGGAAGTGCATCGGTCTCATACATGCTGCGGCCGATGCCTCAGGCCCGAAGAAGTGAAAGAAGTGAACGATGCCTAGCTGACCAATCATAGATCAGCCCGAATCATATTATGTCAAACATATGTCCCGGGTAGTCAGCCCTTTCCCCACAGGACAGGCCAAATAAAGAGGCCCACCCAGGGGCCAATATATATTAGATCATATTACCACATATATATATATATGTCAATATATAGGTCATCATATATAGATCATATATAGAACCAATGAATATGACCTGGGCAATCCACTCTTCAACCCTTCAGGCCTAACTTCCGCGCGATCCCTTGCGTCCCCAGGTGCTGTGCTTGGTTCCGACAGGAGGGCATGGCTCGACCTGTGAACATCTGGACGGGGCAGCGACCAGGTCGGACGGTCTGGGTGATTGAAAGACCGGAGACCTGAGTCCAATCTTGATCCACTTGGCTTAAGTTGAACTTTTTACACCCAAAGATCTGGGCGTGTTGTGTTTCACACAAGCAAATGAGCCGTATCTGTTCTCCGTAATTTGCCCTGTACACTCTGCTGGGATGTCTACGCTGGAGGTTTCGCGGTGTCAGAATATTTTGGAAGGGGTGGCTTCGCGCAAAACCATGGGTATCCAAGACCTGCGCCAAAGGGTTCACGAGCCTTCACGCATAACGACACGCAAATCGGAGAAAGTTTGGGGAGTGCCAGTGACATTCCAATTGAACATTGATCATTCAATCAAACACGCTACTCCAATGGCGGTACCCTAAACAAAAGCCTTCGGCCTTCTGAATCTTGGTGGCTCACGATGATGCCATATGTTTCGCTGGCAACATCACTCCATGTACTATGTGGCCGATGACGCTTTAGATTAATCGTATTAAATTGTTTGCAATTATGCATGTCTATACAGTATATATATAATATGCATGCTGCATGCACCTTGACTTTAGATCACTGTGTCTTCACAGTCTATATATATATATATCCAAAAACACGCTGACCTTTGCTGCCTCTCGGCTCCGGACCCTCCCCCAGGAAAAAGCACCATCCTCATGCCAAACGTCAGGCCTGATTGAAGATGCCAAAGCGGGTGGCAACTCAAGCAGTGGACCACAGAAACGGGCTGTACCTCTCGAAACGAGTCATGACCCTCCCTTTGCTTTCTGATCCCAAAAGACTGGGTAGCTTGGAGTCCCTAGTAGCGAACATTAGTAGCAGCGATGCCAGGAGCCCCTAGTAGCGTCCTTGCTCCTCATGCTTGGTGCACCTGAACCCCGCCGCTCTCCGACTCGTGCTGGGCGCCATGCGTGGAGTGGCAAACCACCACATCCCAAGGAGTGCGCCTGCGTGAACCAAACAACAAATTGTCAAATTGATGGTTGATGGTAGTCAATTCTTTTAGGTGACTTTGGGACGCTTGGGGTGTAGGTACTAATGCTTCCTCCCACTAAGTAAGTTTTTGTAGAAGCAGCCTCTTTTCAAGAACCATTCCTTAGCTCTGTAGAAGCAAGAGTACGAGAGTACAATGTGGATGGATGAGGTGGACATGCTGTTCGGTCTAGAAGTGTCCACACGCCCGTGTGGAGCATTCAGATTCATAGGTCCTTTCAGTCCTTTAACTTCCTCAATGAGGATCTCACGAGTCTTGCTTGGAAAAAAAACAAGCGAAGGAGGCAAGCAGAAAGCAAAGGTCGGATCAAATCACTCCTCCATGCACACTGATTCTGTTGAAAGCTGTGTGCGTCGTTGGACCCATGTCCAAGCAAAGCTGCGCCAGGACCGCCAGGATGCATCAATGCCTGCCATGGGTTCTTGAAAACGAGCTGTTGCGCCTGGCAAAGCCTTGGCAATGCAAACAAAGAATTGCCAAAACACTTGGTAGGTCTCAAATGATACGTAGGGACATCAGGGACATCGGCACCAGCAGCATGCATGCTACTCGAATGCAAAGCGCCAAGATCAGCAGCCCCTTCTCAAGGACAAAGAAGGACTGCTCCGCGTTGCAAATTTGGGTGAAGCAGTGGGTGAAGCATTGGAGTCCCCAGAAACATCACCATGGCCGTGACCTCCATTCAAGGAACGTGGAATGCCAAACCAGCTCTGCACAACAGGGTTGCCTAGTGGTGTCCAGACTGAGGCGCTCTTGCTTCCCGACATCCATTCCAGCAAAGGAGTTCTGACCCTCCAGTCGTTAAGCGCCCGAGATTCTGAGATTTGGACAACGCCCTAGGCCCTAGCTGCTGCATCTTTGGTTCTGTATTCGCACATTGCAATTGCTCTTTTGGAACTGTAATTGCCCTGCACAAGTTCTTGGACAAAGGAGCAGGTGTGCAATGCTTTCTGTCCACCAAAACATTTCTGATATATTCCAAGAATGGCACCTGTCCAGCTGGCTTTGAAGTCTGCCTTTCACACAAACGTACCTCTTCTCTCCGTCTCCCATGCATCTGTCAAAAGCAGCTGTATGCTTCCCGGAGCAGTCAACACCGCAGCATCGCAAGCAGGGGCACAAAAATACCTGTGCCAGGGCTGACTTGTAGAACCTTCGTCCGGTCCAAACCTAGTACCTTCAAGCACCATCCCAGCTAAGAAACTCGACACCCATTTCCAGCGATCTCTGCTGGCAGCAGCTCAATGATGTTTGATGTGCCATTGCCCAACGAACAGGGCGCAGTATCCGTTTTGCTGTGACAATGTGGATCTAGGAGCAAGGACGCTGGCTCCTGGCATCTCCTGGCCATACTAGGAGCAGGCAGCTACGAATGGGGCTCCTGGCATCGCTACGAACGGAACAAGAACGCTGCTGTGGAATGCCTCCAGCTTCCCATGCTGAACATCCAAGCTGAAGCGAGACGGTTGACTGGACAGACCGTCCGAATTGACGACCAGCCAGCAAGCAGCAGCAAACATGCGCTTTTTATTGTGCCTTTTTGAGTTGCAAATTAGCTGGTGAGCCAGAGTTGGGAACCCAATGTTTGATCCCATTGCACTGCAAGCATAGCTGAAACTCCAAGAACGCATTGCACAAAGTTTGGCTGTTGCTTCAGCCAAGAATCAACAAACCAATAACTATCACTATCCATTCAAACATGAAGCACAAAAGATCACAAGGCATGAAGCTACCTCTCCCTCTCTCTCTCTCTCTCGACAAAACATATGTTCAGCTGCCAAACTGCTGGCTACCTGAAGGCCGATTTTTTCCAACACCCTCCAAGCGACCACGTCCCCCACCGATCCCTGAAACGCTTCGTCGACTTGGTCGTATGATGTCCTATGTCACAACACGTGCCTCTTGCCACGAGTCAACATCTTGGAGATCCGGGAGCCAAGACCTTCCGTTTCTACCGAACACCCGCAAGAACGAGTTCTTACGACTCGCGGGACTCAATGACAATGACGTCCTGTAGACATGTCTTGCAAGTTCTGTTCACAATAATACAGTACATCTATTTGGGGACCGCTATGGCAATCATATTGCCAGCAAATGCTTTCATGTTGAAGGAATGGGCAATGCAAGAAGTATCAAGAAGGTGTTTCTGTTTGTCTTTCAACTTCCCTCTGAGATTCAAGCCCTTCGGAAGCCCACGCACAAAGTTGCGATCTGCAGCGACTTTTGGGTACGTTCTATGATGGGTGCTCGGAAGTAGGTCAAATCGAAGACACCAAGTTGCCATCTTGGGATGGGTTCACAAATCATGAAGGACTACATTATGGAGACGTGGTGTGTGTGTTTCTTTTTTGAGACGTGCAGTTCTGCATACAAACATTCACATGGCCATAAAGCGAGGAAGCATTCGTTTCTGCAAATCTCCGTCGTCTCAAATCAGGGCATCAGAGTCAGTTCGCTGGGTGGCTGAGAAGAGGACTTGTCTGCTCTGCAAATTGACGCAGTCCAAAGTCGCCTCCCGACTTGGAGAACTGTGCGCGTTCAGTCCGTGACTCGGTTCGCATCTCATGCATATCGTGACTCATGTATTGTTCTGTCGTGTGGTTGCAGCATGTGTTCTGACAAACAGAACAGGGAAACCTGACAGTGAAACCCACTCCGAACCAATCGCTTTCTGTCTTCATCGGACGGGGATGGACCGAGCCTTTCTGTCCGCTTGATCGGTAGGCCTGGTGTCGTTGATGTTGTGATCAGCGGGTGAGCGGCGACGTCGTCTCAGGTCCAAGCTCAGTCCGGCGAATGGTCAGTTGTAAGAACGAAGCATTCCCAATACCACAAATTAGGGGCGTTTTTGCCTGGAGTGTGCAAAGCCATCAGAAACCGCACTGAGGAGAGTACACCTTCAACTAGCTATACATATAATATATATATATATATTATATAGTATTATATATATAGGGGTTGGATCTGGTTGGGGCGTTCTGCAGTTCTAAGCACATTCAATATGTTTGATTATGATATATTGTGATACATTGTGTGCGAGGTAGGAAAAAAACATTCTCCAAAAAATCCAAACAAATTGCCTAACAATGCCAAACACAGTCTCCCTTCTCGTCGCAGTCTCAATGATCAACCCGGCGACGGCGACGGCCGTTGCATCCACCAAACCGCCTTTTGAAGGGCATCGGCATATGACAGGGCCTTCAGGCAGGACAGGGGGCGGAAGGCGGCTCCCATCAGCAGCCTCTCTTTGGGCCTTCTTTGGGCTAGGATGTGTTGGTTTCTTTTGGATTGTGCTCCGGCCATCCAAATGGAGTTAGTGGTTGTTCCGCACCAAACGCACCGGAGTTTGCGACCGCGGGATCCCGGCCCCAGTGGTACGGTTTGGCTTCCTGAGACTCTAAGACCTTCTCAGTGTAAGGACCTGGAACACTGAGGAACACAACGCTACCGCTGGGTCAGCCAATGCAATGCACTTCTAGCTGGGACGAAAGTGCAAGGAAATCCTAGTCATACAGTCATACAACTGCCTTTGCAAATCAGTCAACTGTCACCATCGCAAGTGAAGCAAAACACAGCACAGCCACGGTTCGATCGCTCCTTGCTTCAGGGTCCTATTTTGTCATGTGTTTTGCTGTCAAACATGGTGACTTCTTTCTTCAGCCCCGTGAAAGGTGCTGCCATAAAGCTGCAGGTGGACATACAAAAGTTCTTCTCGCGCCAGTGCCTCGCTGGAGTAGCCGCCGGGATTCAGTATTGGTGCCATCCTGTGGAGGGTCGTTCCGTGCACTCAATAGTTACAGCACGCCCGTAGCTAGACTTCCTGGTACTACTAGGCAGTCGCCAGTGAAAACATGGCCTCTGATCTAAACTTGATCCGCTCCTAGTAGTTTGGAATCCATGTCACAAAAATCACTGTGCATGTTTGAACGTGATGGTGTTTGCACCCCCCAGTCATCCCATGTCTTCCCCTAGACAATCAACGGGCCAACGGGCGTTGAGTCTACGATGTAGATGGCGGGAGTAGCAGTTCCCCTCCAAGACTGACCACCTATTTGATCGACTCATCGAGACCAAGTGCAGGACCACAACAACGAGGGCAGCTTCGCAGAGTCTTCGAGGGAAAAGGCTCCACCTGCATGTCCAACTTGGCTGCCAAAAGGCAAGACACGACCGGCAACAAGTTGATGATCCCATGTTGGCCCGCATCTCGCACAACGCAGGACAGAATTCATGTTGGCAGTATTTTTTGAACGCTGAACAGCTAAACGCACAAGCCAAGGATGGTCCATTTCCAGCAAACTCAGGCACACTTGGTATGCCCTAGAATATACTGGTCCATCCCTGCACCTTGCAGCTAATTGTGCAGGGGTCCTCAAGCAGGTCGTATAATGATTGGTAGAGCCTTGTCTGAACACAGCTTAAACATATAATACAGTAATCTAGTGTTCCTCATCCGTTGATCTGTAGTAGCCATGTCCTTCTCACATGGCATCATTAAAAAGCATCTTGAGATGCGTCTCGTGTCAGACTACCTGGTGATGTAGCAAGTCATGTGTGACTATCGAGCTTTCCTGATCAATTTGTGCTTTGAGAGACGACCAGGTGTGGTTTCGCTTCCGGATTCCCATCGACGCTCTGACCCGCTGAATTTGGCTCTGACCCACGTGATCAAGAGCAACTACCTCAAAGCCAAGTCATGCCGCGTCAGCTCTCCCTAGAGTCAGCCGCATCAGCTCCAGTTTAGAGCATCTCCAACACCACGACTCCTCAGTCTTGGTCAAGCCCACTCCCTTATACTCTTCAGGGTGAGCATCAATATGCGCACTCACACACTCACACATACAGTATATGCTATAATATACAGCATAAGTTTTAATACAGTTCACCGGTGACTCATCAGCTAATCTGTGTCCTTGTGTCTCTTCGGTGGGCCCATTGCTAGTTTGCCGACCCCTTTTTCGCAGCAACTTGAAAAGGGCAATTGGAACAAAAACATGGCAGGGCTTCTCCCCAACTCCAGTCAATGAGGACTGAAGAATTTTGCAACTTGGGTATTCATTGCCGTCGCCTGCTATGGGTATGTTCAGGCAACATATGTGCTTCAATCCAATGGCTGGATCCCTTCCCTGATCACAATCCAAAGGATTCGGCTGGTTGTGGTGGTAACTTCTTCGGATGTGCCTGCAGCATTGAAAGCCCGGATTGAACACTTGCTCAATGTCTTTCGCACAAATGGACAAAAAACATATTATAGAAAATGATACCAATTGCCCGTCGAACGTAGGCGAGTCATATCAAACTAGCTTAGCTCTTCTATCACACAGGTCCAACAACTTACTTCTTTTAAGGTGGGAATTTCATCTTGAGGAGCTGTAGCGTGTCGGTATAAAAACTGGTACTCTCCCTCTGAATATGGGATTAAGTTGACACTCCATCTCATCAACTGCCAAACGCCTACATCTTGGAAGCAATTGTGGCGAGATTCAAGGTCTTGATCCGTTATGATGTGATGAAAGAATTCATGCCAATAGTTGTGTGCTCCCAACAGGCAAATGTTGCGAGCTTCTGCAATCTTGCTAAATCTTGCTAAGTTGTAATATTTATATATAGTACAGTATAAATAGGAAACACAACAACGGACGACTGACGACATAATCGACATAGCTTTTCGATTTCGATATGCTTCTTGAGTATGTAATCTTAGTCTGCGTGAGAAATCTCAGGCTCTGAGTTTGAGATGACACACACACACATATTATATATAACGTCCGTGCGAGGTGCTGGCCTCTTGTCAGCTGTCGGGCCTTGCAAACTGCTTGGCTTGATTCCGTTGCGCTTCTCATGCATGAGTTGGCAACACACTTGGTTTATTGGTTTACATTGAGCTGCTCAACCGATTTCTCGAACTTTGTGAGGGATCAAATCTGTGACTTGTATGGACAGTCTCTTCCAGCTGCTTCCTGCCAAGAAGGCACTCCTAAGGCCGTCACTTTGGTGAATCTGGTTGACAGTGTCTTGAAAGACTCGAGGCCTCACGATGCGAAAGGAGCTCCGAACCCGTCTGATATATCCCATGAGAGTCTGCTTCCAAATGGCCAGCGTATCAACGGTTCAAATATTGTGCAGCGTGCATATCCAAGTCCGGTCAGGAAACTTTACAAATGGGGACGGATGAGGATAACATCTTGCATCAAAGCGCTTTCAGTCTTGAGTTTAACTTGAGATCATCTGTTTGATTCTGTTTGGTTGTTTCGGAATGCCAAACACAGAAATGCTTTTTCGTCTGCCGGACTTTTTCTTAGATTCCTGTTTGTTTTCCAAAACCAAGTTTCCCATGGCATCGAAACACAGAGTCCATGCAGAAGATCACCACACTTAAACCCCTGAATGCAAGAAAACACTTCGAAACTTCCTCCTCCCATCCCGCGACCGGTGAAGTCATGACCTGCAAGAAAACCTTCCCAAACAGCTGTTGATTGAATCCCCAACGATGCCCAAGGCACAGCTTCATCCCAAGCCCAACCTTCCACACTTTGGACGATGCCTCACCCTTCTCCAAGCGCCACATGCCCCACATGCCCACCAACTTTGCGCCTCCGTGGGCTCTCATCGTGCCAACCACGACCAGCATCGGGACTCAAATCTTGGGACCTGCAAAGTTCAACCGGTGGCTCCGACGGCGACACGTTGCCGTCCCGGCGGCGGCACGACTGGACGAACACTCATTGGACATGGTTCCCGATAGGTGTTACATGGTGTTACATGCATGCACCGTCATGCACCACTGTTCCTGAACGCGTCGAAGAGCTTCAGGTCTACCCCGTTTGAAAGGGAAGGCATACATACAGTGACAGTAATACATCATGCATCATAATACCATATGCTATGGTGGAATGATCCAAGCCAGGTGGACCAGGAAGCATCTAACGACTAACGACACTGAGTGACTTCCAAGCAAAATTCATCCAATGGAACTCCTAGAGGGATTGAAATGGAATGTGCCAATTCACTGTGTTCCTTTCAAAAGCACTCGTGACATCAAATTGAGGGGTCCTCTTCAGTCCAGTCGACCCAAGTACGAAAAGCACGTATTTCTTGTGGTTGCAAAGCGTCGAACTGGTCTTTGTAGAATGTCTTACCGCCACGCGGTAGCTCAACTCACCCGTCACTGGACCCGCCTCCCCAGGAAGGCGAAGCGATCTTGGGGCCTCAGCTCTGCCCGGCAACTGCAGCGATCGCCCGGTGAGTGTTGCCACGTGAAGATTGTTGAGGGATCAACCAACTGCACGAGCACGCGATGTTTTTTTGTCTCCGGTGGTGTCTTGTGTTTCACACTTCTGGAGGTCAAAGTCGTTGGTCCTTTACGGTGTGTTGCAGTCTTTACTTTCTTTTGGGGCAGGGGTGGCTTTAAGCACAAGGAGGTAGTAGTCCCAGTCATTTTTCGGCGAGCAAACGAGCAAAGCTTCTGAAAATGCCACAGCAAACACCAAGCGCTGTTCAATCAAGATCCATGTTCATTCCATGTGACACCGTGGCACCCCGGTGGCCTCTGCTTCCAACCAACATCTGACACGGCGTTTGGTCCTATGAAGGGAAACCCAAACCTGTGAGTTGTCAGGGAAAATCGCCACACTGCACACCAATGATTATCTGCACACCTCGAGTCACCTCGAGATACCCCCAAATAACCAACCCAATGTGATTCACAAACAAGAACCCTGGTCGTGACATGTCCCACTGAAGATGTAGCTGGCTGGCGGCATGTGGGAAAACATGCGCAACCCAAAAAAACATGTGGGCGTCCATGTGCCACCAGCCCACTACAACGGCGCTATAGCTGACTACCTGGCATGAGCACTCAACAGAATACATGCGCAAAACATCGATAATAGACGGTTGATGTCGTTGCCTCGTCTTTCTGACCTCTGCCAAAGCTGCAAAACCCTCAATCTTCGGCTGTATTTTCTAGACGATTCGACCATTCTACAATTCTTTCTGTACAACCTTGGTCTCCAAATGTGTCCCCCAAACTACTGCTGCTTCGTGTCTTGCACGCGACGTGTTTCGGCCGAGCCGTACGGAAAACACACACGGCCTCCGGACGCCTCGGAGCCTTCCAGCTCGGCCCACCTGGGAGAATCGGTCCGCTTGGAGAATCGGTCTCATCCCCTGCAGATTCTGCAGGGGTACGGGTAGGTATGATGGTTCCGGTGTGTCTGAACTGTCTGTCTGACATGTTCTTAGATGCATGATAGCCACAGCACGAGGACAGCACTAGACCATACAGTACTGGACCACCCCTCCTGAAGGATCCTGATCTGACGATCTGACGAACATTCAGTGGGACCCTCCGGGGGGGAAGTGAGTGCTGACGAAACCAACGATCGGTCGCACCACGATCGGCCTGCAAAACAAACAACGATAGGCCTTGAAGTGCTATCGTTGTTTGACCAGGAATCCGGCCGGTCCCCCCCACCACAAAAGGTAGGACACATTTTCTGGAGAGCTGCTGAGCTTATAGATTTGCTGAGTGCAGCTGTTAATCCAGTAACGACCAAAAACCAAGGTGTATGTGCACAAACAGTTGGTGAAGCAAAAGCACACCCTTTGTCGCTTTAACCAAAAAAATCAGCAAGGTATACAGTACATGGATTGTCTTGCAGTGTATTGTTACTACGCTATCGCTCCTGTTCCTTTCACATTTACCAACCCGAAAGCCTTGGGTCTTTGACCTCAACTACCCGCTACGGTGACCGTCAATGACAATTCTTCAAGAAGGCAATTGACTGGCCTCTAAACCTCTAAACGTTTTCCAGTGATCTATTGATGAGGTGGCAGCTGAAGTTCTGCCCAGCGGCGGATGGTGGAAGGGCCTAATCATCTCTGGTTCAGCTCCTGAGGTCGATGATCCAAGCACTGGCACGACAAACATGTTTGCCACGACAAATGAGCCACGACGGCGCTTGGACGCGCCCCAAAATCACAAGACCATCAGCCACCCAAGATCTTCTGTTCTTATCGCATTCAAGGACAACCATTGTCTTATATCTTCATGCTGATCGTTGTGAGAGCATACCTATTGCTCTTGCAAACAGAAACTGACGAACAACTTCTAGCGTTCATGGCCTTTCCTT